CACCCCAACCGGTGGAGGCAGATGGCGCCCACCCTGAGTCATGGTCTGCTCGAGGTTTCTGCCTCTTAAAGGAAGTTTTCCTTGCCTCTGTCTCCTAGTGCTGCTCTTGGTGGGAACTGTTGGGCTTCTGTAAATAACATCACAGAGTTCGGTCTAGACCTGCTCTTTTATGAAAAGCGCTGTGAGATAACTGTTGTAATAAAATTGAGTTGTATTGTGCTGATGAGCCCATGAGTCGAAGACTATTCACACGTGTGAAAATGAACAAATCCCTCAGACTAGTGTTGTAGTACTCGAGACCGGTCTTAAGACCACTTTTTGATGGTCTTGGTCTCGGTCTCGGACATTGAGGACTCGGTATTTTATTTCAAGACCAGTCAAAATCATAACTTTGGGAATATCAGTAAATTGCTTTTGCATCGTTTATTTGTTAACATCCTAACTTTGATTGGATGGAAAACATATCGTTTCAAATGCAAGCAATAATGCTAATTAAAAATATGTTGTTACAGCTGACGATCCCTCCCCGCAATGCTCAGCGTGGAAAAGGAGAGTTGAATAAAGATGCTGTTGATTTCAGCTCTTAGTGTTTGTATGTGGGCGTATGTGGCCCAGGATCACAGACGGGCTCTGCAGGCTGTTAACGGTGATGATGGACACACAGAGACATATCTGAATGCAACAAAGCTCACACTTTATTTCACATGCTGACAGCATGACATCACTTCCTGTTCACAGCTTTAATCCTGATGACATAAGGAAACCTTCATCATCGCGCTGGGTTTCAGCACCAAACACTGAACAGAGGCTGACTAGTTACAGAGAACATGGAGGCGGAGCTACAGAACACACAGGATTACATCATCAACAGAGAGGCGGGGCTACAAGGTGCAGTTGGCTTCTGGAGAGAGTCGACATTTCGCTACCGTCAGGTAGGTCTCCACCTGTAAACACGTGTCATCATTATTACATCATCATTACATCATCTCCATGATCTTGATCAGCACGCCCTCCTCTTCCTCACCTTGTGCATGTCTTTCTTGAAACAGGCCAGCAGTTCGTACGTTCGTCTCAGCGACTCGTCGGATCCCAGCGTCTGATAATAATTTCCATAAGGAGCCAGCTGCAGGGCAGAGCTGTCAGGGAACAGCTCTGCTCCGTCCTGATTGGCCTGCAGGATCAGGTGGTTACTCACACATTTAAGCTGGTTGGTTACATTTGATGTGTGTATGTGTGTGTGTGTGTATGTGTGTGTTCTCACTCTGATCAACAGCAGGATCCCCGTCTTCAGTTCTGACAGTTTGGGGGAAATCTGGTTCCTCGGAGCAGAACCTCCAGACAGAGAACGACTGGGAAATTCCCAAGACTCGATCAAACGATACGAGATAGACAACAGCTTCAGAACCTAGAACCAACCAAATGATACGAGATAGACAACAGCTTCAGAACCTAGAACCAACCAAATGATACGAAATAGACAACAGCTTCAGAACCTAGAACCAACCAAATGATACGAGATAGACAAGAGCTTCAGAACCTAGAAACAATCAAACCATAGGACAGAGACAAGAGCTTCAGAACCTAGAACCAACCTAATGATACGAGATAGACAACAGCTTCAGAACCTAGAAACAATCAAACCATAGGACAGAGACAAGAGCTTCAGAACCTAGAACCAACCAAATGATACGAGATAGACAACAGCTTCAGAACCTAGAACCAACCAAATGATACGAGATAGACAACAGCTTCAGAACCTAGAACCAACCAAATGATACGAGATAGACAAGAGCTTCAGAACCTAGAACCAACCAAATGATACGAGATAGACAAGAGCTTCAGAACCTAGAAACAATCAAACCATAGGACAGAGACAAGAGCTTCAGAACCTAGAACCAACCAAATGATACGAGATAGACAACAGCTTCAGAACCTAGAACCAACCAAATGATACGAGATAGACAACAGCTTCAGAACCTAGAAACAATCAAACCATAGGACAGAGACAAGAGCTTCAGAACCTAGAACCAACCAAATGATACGAGATAGACAACAGCTTCAGAACCTAGAACCAACCAAATGATACGAGATAGACAACAGCTTCAGAACCTAGAAACAATCAAACCATAGGACAGAGACAAGAGCTTCAGAACCTAGAAACAATCAAACTTTACGAGATAGACAACAGCTTCAGAACCTAGAAACAATCAAACTTTACGAGATAGACAACAGCTTCAGAACCTAGAACCAATCAAACTTTACGAGATAGACAACAGCTTCAGAACCTAGAACCTATCAAACTTTATAAGATAGACAACAGCTTCAGAACCTAGAACCAATCAAACTTTACGAGATAGTCAACAGCTTCAGAACCTAGAACCAATCAAACTTTACAAGATAGACAACAGCTTCAGAACCTAGAAGCAACCAAACTTTACAAGATAGACAACAGCTTCAGAACCTAGAAACAATCAAACTTTACGAGATAGACAACAGCTTCAGAACCTAGAACCAATCAAACGATACGAGATAGACAACAGCTTCAGAACCTAGAAGCAACCAAACTTTACAAGATAGACAACAGCTTCAGAACCTAGAAACAATCAAACTTTACGAGATAGACAACAGCTTCAGAACCTAGAAACAATCAAACTTTACGAGATAGACAACAGCTTCAGAACCTAGAAGCAATCAAACGATATGAGATAGACAACAGCTTCAGAACCTAGAACAAATCAATCGATACGAGATAGACAACAGCTTCAGAACCTAGAAACAATCAAACGATATGAGATAGACAACAGCTTCAGAACCTAGAACAAATCAATCGATACGAGATAGACAACAGCTTCAGAACCTAGGAGCAATCAAACTTTACGAGATAGACAACAGCTTCAGAACCTAGAACCAATCAATCGATACGAGATAGACAACAGCTTCAGAACCTAGAAGCAATCAAACTTTACAAGATAGACAACAGCATCAGGACCTAGAACCAATCAAACTTTACGAGATAGACAACAGCTTCAGAACCTAGAACCAATCAATCGATACGAGATAGACAACAGCTTCAGAACCTAGAAGCAATCAAACTTTACAAGATAGACAAGAGCTTCAGAACCTAGGAGCAATCAAACCATACAGAGACAAGGGCTTCAGAACCTAGAAGCAATCAAACTTTACAAGATAGACAACAGCATCAGGACCTAGAACCTATCAAACTTTACAAGATAGACAAGAGCTTCAGAACCTAGAACCTATCAAACTTTACAAGATAGACAAGCGCTTCAGAACCTAGAAGCAATCAAAACATAGGACAGAGACAAGGGCTTCAGAACCTAGAACCAATCAAACTTTACGAGATAGACAACAGCTTCAGAACCTAGAAACAATCAAACTTTACGAGATAGACAACAGCTTCAGAACCTAGAACCAATCAAAACATAGGACAGAGACAAGGGCTTCAGAACCTAGAACCAATCAAACTTTACGAGATAGACAACAGCTTCAGAACCTAGAACCAATCCATTGATATGAAATTGAGATGTGAAATGACATGTTACATTAAAAGGCTCTGGTGAAAACAAAAACTGCAGAGCGAACTGTATGTTCATATAAGAACATATAATAAACAGTTTGAGTAGTATTGTGTAGTGAAGTACTCTCACAGAGCTGCGTTGTGTCTCGTGCTTGTCGATGGGGCTGATGATGTAATCAGAGTTACAGAAATCCTGCAGGAAGATTTTGTTGAGTTGACGCTGCTCCTCCATCTGCAGTGAGCTCTCCTAAAAGACACATGTACAGGTTTGCACAGGTATACACACAAAAATATACACAGGTATACACAGAAATACAAACAGGTATACATACAGTTATATACAGAGGTATACACATAGAAATATACACAGGTATACACAGAAATACAAACAGGTATACATACAGTTATATACAGAGGTATACACATAGAAATATACACAGGTATACACAGAAATACAAACAGGTATACATACAGTTATATACAGAGGTATACACACAGAAATATACACAGGTATACACAGAAATACAAACAGGTATACATACAGTTATACACAGAGGTATACACATAGAAATATACACAGGTATACACAGAAATACAAACAGGTATACATACAGTTATATACAGAGGTATACACATAGAAATATACACAGGTATACACAGAAATACAAACAGGTATACATACAGTTATATACAGAGGTATACACATAGAGATATACACAGGTATACACAGAAATACTAACAGGTATACATACAGTTATATACAGAGGTATACACACAGAAATATACACAGGTATACACAGAAATACAAACAGGTATACATACAGTTATACACAGAGGTATACACATAGAAATATACACAAGTATACATACAGAAATACACACAGGTATATACACAGAAATTTACACAGGTACACACACAGAAATAGAAACAGGTACACACACAGAAATACACAGGTACACACACAGAAATACACAGGTACGTTTTATCATACACAGAAATACATAAAGGGATACACACAGTTATACACACAGGTATTCACACAGAAATACACAAAGGTATACACACAGAAATACACAAAGGGATACACAGTTATACACACAGGTATTCACACAGGTATTCACACAGAAATACACACAGTTATACACACAGGTATACACACAGAAATACACAAAGGGATACACAGTTATACACACAGGTATTCACACAGAAATACACAAAGGGATACACACAGTTATACACACAGGTATTCACACAGAAATACACAAAGGGATACACACAGTTATACACACAGGTATTCACACAGAAATACACAAAGGGATACACACAGTTATACACACAGGTATTCACACAGAAATACACAAAGGGATACACAGTTATACACACAGGTATTCACACAGAAATACACAAAGGGATACACACAGTTATACACACAGGTATTCACACAGAAATACACACAGTGTTACTCTGTTGTGTGCCGGATGTTTTCACCATGTACATACGTCCGTCCCGTTCTGGCGACTCAAAGGTCACTGTGATCTCAAAATGGGTTGTTAGCCCGTTGGCTAAAAACCGACTGGGCAATTGTAGGTTTCATTCCCGAATTGTCAAACAATGCTGCTGGGTCAGTGGCTGTTCCCCTTATATTACCTTATATTACGTTCTGTCTCCCGTCAAAGTCAGGTGACATAGTGTTGAGATACCCAGGAGGCAGCTGTTTAGTGCCTAAACATATACGTAGATGTATTTATATACATCTACATACATACATACATATACTGTATATGTATATATATATATGTATTTATGTATATTGTAGCTTCCATTTAGCCATTCCATTTATTTTTTTAAATACTCTTTGTAACTTGTATTCCTTCTATAATAGATGTATTTACTCCATGTCTTATAGAAGTGTGGACAGTCATGACTTGACTGATTGGCAGAGAAACATAACCTGGGGCGGGAACTCTACTTGTCTCTGTTGTGTGTTTTCGTCTGTGCGAGCTGCCGTAGACTTACAAAGTCAGAGAAGAGTCTCTGAGCGAGCAGGTGGAGATGTTGAACTCTGCTGACTGCGATAGAGAAGAGACGCTGGCCGTCTGTGATTGGCTGAGAGGAGACGCCCAGAGACACCACCGACAGCAGAAGGATGACTGAGAGACAGGTGAGAGAGAGACAGGTTATTTCAATTCAATTTTATTTATATAGCGCCAAATCACAATAAAGGTTTTCTCACAGCGCTTTTCATAAAGAGCAGGTCTAGACCGTACTCTGTGATGATATTTACAGAAGCCCAACAGTTCCCACCAAGAGCAGCACTAGGAGACAGAGGCAAGGAAAAACTTCCTTTAAGAGGCAGAAACCTCGAGCAGAACCATGACTCAGGGTGGGCGACCATCTGCCTCGACCGGTTGTCGTGAGAGAGAGAGAGAGAGAGAGAGAGAGAGAGAGAGGGAGAGAGAGAGAGAGAGAGAGAGAGAGAGGGAGAGAGAGCTTCTTCAGTACAAAATGATGTTGATTTAGTAAATAATGGTCCCATTTATTTTACACAAAGCAGAGTATGTTTCAGGGCGGGATTATCTATGATTGACAAGTCATTACCATGGCGACCTATCAATCAGACTAGAGCCGACTCGTACCCTCAGCGCTGTGTAAATTTAACCATGGTAACCATCATCACAGTAAAGAGCACCATCTGGTGGTCCAGTATTTACCGACTCTACGTTTTATCATCTGATCACATGAAGTCATCAAGACAAAACAAACAGAAAAATAGACAAAAAAAATAAAAAGCGGTCTTCATGTCTCACCTCTGTCCATGGCTGATCTGGACTCAGCTCAGGTCCTGGTTCTGGTTCAGAGTTGGATTCAGTTCTGGTTAGTCTGATCGTAGTGAGAGCGTTTTGGTGTTTTCAGCTCAGAGTTTGTGGTTTTATAGCAGAAAAGCTGCTGATTAAATTCATCAACAGAAACATGAAGCGAACAAACAACCACCAGGTGAGTGAGTGTGTGTGTGAGTGTGTGTGAGTGTGTGTGTGAGTGTGTGTGAGTGTGTGAGTGTGTGTGTGAGTGTGTGTGTGAGTGTGTGTTGACCTGTATTTAACATTAACACCTTCATAATAATATTGATGGAGCATCAACACTGACTGTTGATGATGAAAACAAGACAAACTAGAACTGCAAGCAGTTGCGGGGTCCAGCTGCGCCCCTCGCCATGTGGAGGCCACGCAAGTCGACTCCGCCGTGGCTCCAGGGGCCCGCGGTGAATAAAAGACCAGAGTTTGAAATTAAAGGGACTTGCGGTTACAGAGATATAGAATGAATGTATGTCTATGGGAGGGTTATTTGATAAACGATTAATAGCGCCACATAGAGGTCAATTGACACCAAATTTCACACAGCCCCTCGGGAGGGTGTGCCAGGTCCCCGAGTTTGGTGTAGATCGGTCATTCTAAACCTATGATATGACATCACATTTGTTGGCTTATAAGTCCAACAGTTTTTCGCATTTCAATACGGGGAGCACAAGCTTGTATGAGCTTTGTCCAGAGATGGTCCGTGCCAAGTTTGGTGCCGATCAGACTTAAGTTTCTTTCCATCTGACTCAACATTGGAATGCTGCTTACATGATAATCAGTCTTAGCAATCCAAAAAATAAGTGAAATGACAGCAGTGCTTTAACTTTTAAACAAAACATTGGCAGGGTCATTAGTATTTCGTTTATATTAAGTATTCACAGTATTGAAATCGTTTATTTAAAGTCCAGTGTGTTAGATTTAGGAGGATCTATAGGCAGAATTAGGGTTTAAATGGCATCAACATATGTATGAACCATCACCTCAGGGCACCACTACAAGAATATTGATTAAGTCTATAGTGAAGTCTGATCAATAATTAAATTAACCCACAGGATCACGTGATCAGGTCACTGGCATGGTAAACAAGGGGGCAGTGGTGGCCCAGGAGGTCACGAGTTCAATCACCGGTCTGGCTGGATAAAATCTGGGTGTGGAAAGTAAACCAAGCAGTGCTTGCCCTCCCACCCCTGAGGTGCCCTTGAGCAAGGCCCATAACCCCAAGTTGGCAGACAGAGAGCGATGGGCTTTACATGACAGGATTCACAATTTGGATAAATATTTCTGAAAAGGTGTTTTGATTCTTTTGATGGGTGGACCCTTACAGACTAAAGGAATATATTAAATAATCAAGGAACAGACACATTTGGACTTAACGAGCACTTCAAATTTAACGTGAGTCAGCAGTTTTTCCCCTTTTCCTCTCTTGTAGCCATGCAGGTTGCACCGGTAAATCTAGAAGAATTAGACTTTGGCTCTCGTTGTTTCCGTTAATTGAACTTAACATTTATTCATGTAGCTGACGCTTTTATCCAAAGCAACTTACAATTGCTAGACATGTCAGAGGTCGCACGCCTCTGGAGCAACTAGGTGTCTTGCTCAGGGACACAGTAGATGGGTCACAGTGGGGGATTGAACCCAGGTCTGTCACACCAAAGACACGCATCTTATCCATTGCGCCATCACCACCAGCATTAACTTAACAGTGGTATTGTGGAGAATCTAACTGATCTAACGACGTGCAGCATGTTCATACTGACACATTGATCACACGTTTAAACATTTTATACATCCAAAGAACTTCTATAAAAACCAGACCAGGCTTTTAATTAAGGCAGGAGTTTATTTGTCAGAATGGTCCCCACACCAGGCCAGGAAAGGAGGTAGGTGACTATTTGGGACTTGGCTATTAATTGAAGTTTTATGGTAAATAAAGGTTAAAAAACAAACATGTTTTAATGTTCTATAGAAAGGCACAATACTCCTAAGGGTTAATGACCAAAATGACCATCAGCAGCTGGTAGGATGAAGGATTTATGGTTCTACACAGAAGAGGTTGGAGATATCTTCACTCTGATGCAACATTAGAGAAACCAGCATGATTCTAGACAAGCAAAACACATGAACACGTGTTGCAGGCAGGAAGCTGAGTGAAGCAGAGTTCTTAAAGCTCTGCGTGGCTGTGGATATAACGGTGCAGTGCTACAAAGAGTTAGTTAGCTTGCATGTAAAGAGTCTGTGTGAGGCATAACGTTCACTAATATCCATTTAGCAGCAAGGCTACGTTACGTTAACCTCACGTTAATCCTGCAACCATCGCAACAACAAACTGCAGGGAAGAAACCTCAGCTGTTAGCTGACGGCTCGGTTGTGGATTTAGCTAGGTGGGGAAGAATTGTGAGTTTATTGCTGTGTCCTGTTCCAACGGCGCAGATGGAGGTCTTCCACCGTCTGCGATGTTGCACCTCCATATTTCTACAGTAGCCCAGAACAGACAAACTGAACGCTGACCGCAGAGAGGGCCTTTCACGTTGTTTGCAGCCAGCGTAGGTTCTCCGACACGACTGTAGTAATATGTAAGTGGTAGAATATGAATCTGAAAAGTAATTAAACAAATGTACTGCAGTAAAAAGGAAATAATTTCACTTGAAGATAAATGAATGCAGATTTGATATTCATGCAACAAGATTCAACACTTTGACATCAGACATGGACACGAATAGAAACCAGTGGAGTCTGTAAAATGTTTGAAACGTGATCAAACGTGAAAAACAAAACCCTCCTCTGCTTCTTTAGACTAAGTAACATCTGCAGTTTTTAATAAGACAACTGTGGGATAACAAATGATAATGTTGATCAGAAACAAAGCAAATGGTTCCTCTGTGAGGAACAACGTGAATATTTAAAGTTGAGATTTGCAGGAAACACGTTGCTGACGGAAAATGTTAAAATGTCAGATCCACTTTTAGAAAACTATGTCATGTTTTTGTTCTTGGGGATCTGAATTTATTCACAGCCGTCACTGATCTGTGGTCAGACATTCAACAGTTCCATCACGCAGGAAACTGAATTTATTCAACGCTCCATGACAGCGATACGAGCAGAGCGCCATCAGCTCAGATACACGAGACAACAACCAGCAGCAACAGCTTCGTCTCATTAAACTCGTTAACAAACAGAAACCTGACGCTGAAAGCTACCAAAGACGGTTTTTAGTCTGTGACCGGCAGACTCTGCAGTTCCATCAGCTGGGTTTCATATTTCAGGTTTTACTTTCTTACTGAAATGACTCGTTAACGTCCCTGAGATTGAAACTGTTCCTGTCTGTCAGAGGTGAGACCTTCTTGTTTCATTGTACTGTGCGTATACAGTGTGTAGCATCGGCCTACTCCTAAATGCAGGGGCGAACTGGCCATCGGGAGAACTGGGCCAAATCCCAGTGGCCAATTTGGCTTGCCATCATCTAGCAAACTTGGGCACCACGTTCTGCATTCAGCTCATCTTATCAAATGAAACAGTCCCTTCACTCCTGGTTTCAGTGGTAAACCACCACAACAATAACATTAAATTCTAAGCAGACACGTTTTAAGAATACATTTTGTATGTCAAACAAATGGAAAACTTATTAGAAAATTTTAACAAAACTCCCTTCACTGCTATGCATCATGGGAAGTCTGCCCGGACTCACACAGGCAGCGCGTGAACCGCGGTTTAATTCCGCCCTCTGACCGGCTTCAGCTTCCACCGGAAGCCCCTCAGCATCTCAGCAGCAGAGTGTGCAGCCTGCACAACCTTAATAACTTGTTATTTGTCCTTTTGTGATTCTACTTCCTTCTTCACTGCAGCCTGCATTACTTCTCTTGTCCCACAAGGAGCATTTCAGAATAGTGTTTAGATTTAGTTGATTAATTAGGCTATCTAGTTAAACCGTTTCTTTTTTGTCTGTTTTAACTGTGTTTATTGTTGATATACAATCGGGAGTCTGTCCAGGGTAAAAGCTCACTGTTTTATGTCTGACTTCCTGCCCAGTTCATCTGCTCTGTACTGCTTGACGGAAGCTACGCAAAAGTACACTGGTTGCTTCTCTCTGGAGCGGGAGGCACTTCTGGGACGCCCTGCAGAGCTTCTGCTTCACAGAATGGCTGCGAGCCGCTCTGGCGGCCGCAACGCAGGCAGACTCAATGAGTCCGGGGTCGTGTATACTTGATATTAACTGACTTGGTAGCAGGTGGGCACCTTGATGAAGCTCCGGCCTCGTCTTGAAAACTCAGTGTTCACATAGGCTACTTTAATGATCATCCCTGTTACATCAACAAATAGGGTTTGCCCTATTGGCCTTTGGCTCAGAGGGAATGGTTCCTCTTCCTGGTGTTTGGAACCACCTAGGGGGGCTCCAAACAGTTTCAGGGGAGGCTCAGTCAATGGAAGAAATTACTTATTGTATTAGTTATCCAAAGGAGATCACATAGAACAGCCTGCATGTGAGAGACAGTCATTTTGGCGAACAGTTTCGCCCCCATCAGAGTCAGAAACTAATAAATGCCTCAGGACAGAGCTTTTTTCCAACTATTTGGTGCATTCAGACGTCATGTCAAACAGCAGTGTTAGGCTATTTTCTATTTTGGCTCAAATGTTGAGTGTCTATGGGATCAGATAATATAATCATGATCTCATAGACATCTAGGAATTGAGTGAAATTTACCAAGTAAATTAAAGATGGGGGGGCATTTCCCAAGCTTTGTCTGAGGAGAGGCCGCAGTCTCAGACTTTCAAAACCCCTGCCATAGACTGTATATAAAAAGGTTAGTCCACAAAAATTAGCGGTTTGGTGGTTTGTGTGAAGAAGGTGGCCCGGCCTGAATTCTTGTACCAGTCCGCCCCGGCCTAAATGTGTTTAATCACCTCACAGCAGACCTGGGACCAGCTAATATTCCAGTGTAGAAGCCTCAAAGGTTGATCCATGTTAGTATCAGCAGTTTCACTGTTTACTGACATGTTCAGTCACGCCATCGAGCCGCCACATTGTTTCCACCCACACAGACATTTGAGTGTTTGACTAATCTCTATAAGGCTCCATCACAGTACAGTTATTCATGTAGCCGACACTTTTATCCAAAGTGACTTACAACTGCTGAACATGTCAGAGTTCGCACGCCTCTGGACATCTCTCACACCAAAGGTATCTCACCCAGAGCGCCATTGCCACCCCACATAAATATATAACATTCAACATAATATAAATTCAGGCAAGCAAAACGCATTAGCTTAAATGCATTCTGGGAACCCATCAGCTTTTTATTCATTTCTGACCCTAGAGATTAGCTTTTTAAAAGTTAAGCCGCATTCAAATCATGGTCTGAAACAACGAGAGGAACTCTTGCCCCAGATATCAGCTGGCTACACCAGATGCCCAAAACATTGGCTTTCGCCCCCAGAGGCTAAGTCGCTGGTAGCCACTGGGTTCCTGAGATTGTTTTTTAAAAAGTCAGCAAGGAGCAAAAAACAGCAGCACTAAGATCTAATAAAACCAGTACTGTTGTGACCTGGCTCAAAAGGCCACAACAAAAGGGAGACACACCATGGTAAACGGTTAACATGTTTAACGAAAATATGCCAAATCAATAGTTACTTCAAATTAACATAATTAATGTAAGAGGTATGTAGTCTGGTTTGTGTTAGTTAGTGTCTGTGCAGGATGATGGTTGCATGGTGTATGTGTGAAGGTGTTGTAGCATGCAAACAAACACAACGCAATAGTCCAACCAAAGAAAGCCAAACTAAATGGAAGACCAGGGAGCCGGCCGCAGGGAGGTCTGATCTGGTCTTGACAGCAGTCCCCTGCTGAATGAGAAAACAGTCCCAAATACTCTACAGGGCGAGCGAGACCACGACCACACTCATGACCCCACAGGGCGTCGTCACACCCCAAAACAGGGGACCCAAAAAGGGTACCCCGAACCTACTACTTACAAATAAACAAAAACATTACAGCACCAACACTCTGGCTGGCCACTAATAAACTGCTCAGCTGGGACACAAGACAGAGCATCCACCACAACATTATCCTTGCTTTTGACATAGGCTTCAAACCACACTACCAGATCCGGTTTTGCAGAACACAAAATGAGGAATACTGACAACTGTATTGTCAGTTGGGGTCAAGGCCCTGACCTAAAGTTCACATGAAAATGAGCACCCGAAGCTCATCCCAAACGAACAAGTTGGCCTTCTGCTAGACATAATATACCAAGATTCCAGCAACCAAATACACACAACACTGGAACTACCACAAAAGCGCTAAACCAAAGTAGCACACCGAAGTTTCAAAGGCTCACTAGCCAAACAAGTCATCCCAAGGCGCACACCACAAGGAAACAAAGCTACAACCAAACTCATACTAACCAAACAAAGCATGAGCCAAGCGCTTAATGTCTATTACCAAAACTAGCAGGCCAACCCACAAAGTCACACACACCAACCTGGATGGTTTACTTTCCCAGTGCCAAAGTTTTAATCCCCCAACCAGACCAAAATGTACAATAAACCCTAAGGTACTAATATCCACAAGGTTTAAAGAAATTTAGTACTACATCATTTAAGATTAGACAAAGCACTGATGTACAGTTTCAACGGTCCGTGGTGGTAACACCAGCACAGAAACAGACTCCACCACAGCAAGTTTACTTTTCTGCAAGACCCCCAGCTCAACCAAAGATGACAAGGTAACATTTTTAATGTCATCCTTACCACTCACTAACACCATAATGGGTGAAGTTAGTGGAAGGCTTTGATTTAAAGTCTTCGTGCTCAGGCTGTACTGAGTCCTTGTGCTGCTGTTGCCCTCTGCTGGATGTCCTGACACTGACACAGATTTTGTGCCAAAATGAAGCAGCAGATATGAAGAATATTTTGTCCCTCCACATTTGACGTTACAAACTGAGTGTCTATGACGACCTTCATTTGTTTCAACTGTTGTTGTGATTTGGCGCCATATAAATAAAATTGAATTGAATTGAAGGATATTCAAAGTGCTTTACATAAAACATGAAAGTAACATATTGAAAGGACTCACAACACCCGGGTGTTTAGAGGAGTTGAGAACTTTGAGGTCTAAAGGTGTAGAGGTGTAAATGCGAATAGGTATGAAGGTGTAGAGGTGTGCAGGTGTGAATGCGGATAGGTATAAAGGTGTAGAGGTGTGCAGGTGTGAATGCGGATAGGTATAAAGGTGTAGAGGTGTGCAGGTGTGAATGCGGATAGGTATAAAGGTGTAGAGGTGTACAGGTGTACAGGTGTAAATGCGAATAGGTATAAAGGTGTAGAGGTGTGCAGGTGTGAATGCGGATAGGTATAAAGGTGTAGAGGTGTGCAGGTGTGAATGCGGATAGGTATAAAGGTGTAGAGGTGTAGAGGTGTAGAGGTGTAAATGCGAATAGGTATGAAGGTGTAGAGGTGTGCAGGTGTGAATGCGGATAGGTATAAAGGTGTAGAGGTGTGCAGGTGTGAATGCAGATAGGTATAAAGGTGTACAGATGTACAGGTGTGAATGCGAATATGTATAAAGGTGTAGAGGTGTGCAGGTGTGAATGCGAATATCTATAAAGGTGTAGAGGTGTGCAGGTGTGAATGCGGATAGGTATAAAGGTGTACAGGTGTGAATGTGAATATGTATAAAGGTGTAGAGGTGTGCAGGTGTGAATGCGGATAGGTATAAAGGTGTACAGGTGTGCAGGAGTGAATGCGAATATGTATAAAGGTGTAGAGGTGTGCAGGTGTGAATGCGAATATGTATAAAGGTGTAGAGGTGTGCAGGTGTAAATGCGAATATGTATAAAGGTGTAGAGGTGTGCAGGTGTGAATGCGAATATGTATAAAGGTGTAGAGGTGTGCAGGTGTGAATGCGAATATGTATAAAGGTGTAGAGGTGTGCAGGTGTAAATGCGAATATGTATAAAGGTGTAGAGGTGTGCAGGTGTGAATGTGAATATGTATAAAGGTGTAGAGGTGTGCAGGTGTGAATGCGAATATGTATAAAGGTGTAGAGGTGTGCAGGTGTGAATGTGAATATGTATAAAGGTGTAGAGGTGTGCAGGTGTAAATGCGAATATGTATAAAGGTGTAGAGGTGTGCAGGTGTGAATGCGAATATCTATAAAGGTGTAGAGGTGTGCAGGTGTAAATGCGAATATCTATAAAGGTGTAGAGGTGTGCAGGTGTGAATGCGAATATCTATAAAGGTGTAGAGGTGTGCAGGTGTAAATGCGAATATGTATAAAGGTGTAGAGGTGTGCAGGTGTAAATGCGAATATGTATAAAGGTGTAGAGGTGTGCAGGTGTAAATGCGAATATGTATAAAGGTGTAGAGGTGTGCAGGTGTAAATGCGAATATCTATAAAGGTGTACCTAGAATAGGTGTAAAGGTGTGAATAAAGGTGTAGAGGTGTGCAGGTGTGAATGCGAATATCTATAAAGGTGTAGAGGTGTGCAGGTGTAAATGCGAATATGTATAAAGGTGTAGAGGTGTGCAGGTGTAAATGCGAATATGTATAAAGGTGTAGAGGTGTTCAGGTGTAAATGCGGATATGTATAAAGGTGTAGAGGTGTGCAGGTGTAAATGCGAATATGTATAAAGGTGTAGAGGTGTGCAGGTGTAAATGCGAATATGTATAAAGGTGTAGAGGTGTGCAGGTGTAAATGCGGATATGTATAAAGGTGTAGAGGTGTGCAGGTGTAAATGCGAATATGTATAAAGGTGTAGAGGTGTGCAGGTGTAAATGCGGATATGTATAAAGGTGTAGAGGTGTGCAGGTGTGAATGCGAATATGTATAAAGGTGTAGAGGTGTGCAGGTGTGAATGCGAATATGTATAAAGGTGTAGAGGTGTGCAGGTGTGAATGCGGATAGGTATAAAGGTGTAGAGGTGTGCAGGTGTAAATGCGAATTTGTATAAAGGTGTAGAGGTGTGCAGGTGTGAATGCAAATATGTATAAAGGTGTAGAGGTGTGCAGGTGTGAATGCGAATATCTATAAAGGTGTAGAGGTGTGCAGGTGTGAATGCGAATATCTATAAAGGTGTAGAGGTGTGCAGGTGTAAATGCGAATATGTATAAAGGTGTAGAGGTGTGCAGGTGTGAATGCGAATATCTATAAAGGTGTAGAGGTGTGCAGGTGTGAATGCGAATATCTATAAAGGTGTAGAGGTGTGCAGGTGTAAATGCGAATATGTATAAAGGTGTAGAGGTGTGCAGGTGTGAATGCGAATATCTATAAAGGTGTAGAGGTGTGCAGGTGTGAATGCGAATATCTATAAAGGTGTAGAGGTGTGCAGGTGTAAATGCGAATATCTATAAAGGTGTAGAGGTGTGCAGGTGTGATTGTCAGGTGAGTGAAAGAAGAGCAGCAGAAAGACTTTAAGGACAGTTTGAATCTTTAATGGCTTTGTTTTTACTGCAGGTCACATCTGTTATTCATCATCTTCAAACATTTACAGTCAACCAATAGCAGGCTGATGACTCGGACACTCATCCACCAATCATGTGAAGAGATTGTTTCTTTGCAATAAGTCACAGTTTGACAAACGGAATCTCTTACAGAATCAAAGATGAAAAACAACGGATGTTTCTGCTGAACAAAGATTAATGCTAGAATGTACACAGAGAGTATTATAGAATACTGATATACCATACTTCATACAAAAACACATGAAATAATATAGACATTAAGAAAGAAAGAATGCAGCAAATGCCTGGGGAGGAAGAGAGAGCTGCAGATAATCATTAATGATCAGTTTTCTGTAATGAAACACACATTTAATGTTAATCAAAAACATTTACAAACACATTTACTAATATTGTGTTAAATCAGCACAGCTGTCAGCTTCCTGTGTCATTGTGAATTATAGGCTGTGAATCTATTTATGTTGCCTGGATCTCACTAACTTTTCCCCTCATACGGCTCTTTAGGTGATTTTTAATAAAGTGATCTTTGCAGCTTCAGTACCATGATAGTTTCTCTGAGGACATCAAGTTCTGTTACAGCCAGCGAATCCAAATCTCTCTGAAGACGTTTGCCTGTCTGCACGATAATGTTCATGTCATCAGTACAGTGTTAGTGTAGGTCTGTGTATCCACATGGGTTACTTTGACTTCATTCTAATCAGTAGTCATGTTCACCAACCAACTCATGTCTGCTGTGTCACCTGTCAGCTGATTTGATCTCAGGAAACATGTCTGACGCAGTGATGACGTCGAGATCTCCGCTCAGGGCTTTGAACCCAAAACACAGTCTGACCCTCCATCACTGTCAGATAATCGAATGATACTGCAGCCCTGCTGGTGCTTTCATTGGTGCGACTTTATTATTGAACTTGAGCGGAGATGCGGAAGCTGCTGCTGTGGACTGCAGCTGGATCGGTCTCCCCACAGCCCTCTCAGCGGACCATGGCTATGGTTACAGCTTGTTCTGATTGGACGAGTTCACTGTCAGTCACCGGTAGCTTCATCAGGACCAAACTGAACCTGCGGTGGATCTATGTAAAGCCTCACCTCATCGTCACAGCTGTGTAACGTCTGACTCATGTTTCCCTGTTGCCCTGAGCTCCTGTAAAACCATCTGCAGCAGAACTGACCAATCAGAATCAACAAAGACAAGTTCACAAAAGGTCACGGGTTATTAAAAACATTATCTTTAACCAGACCTCATCTGTTCAGGCGCTGCCCTCTCATTGGCTGTCTGCTTTGTCAATAACCACTGAAGCTCCTCCTGACCTGTGTCCGCTGTTGTTTAGCATTCACACGAAACAAACCAGAGCAGAAAACAAAACCTTCGCTGTTTAATTCTCAAAGACAGAGAAACAGGTCTGAACCCACATGCATAACAGGGTGAGTCAAAGTTCACGTTTGCTTGCGGTCTAAAAGCCGGCAAAAGTCAAAACCAGGCAGATGGACTAAAACTGGCACATTTACTTAAAAGGGGTCCAGCAGTCCGGCAGGCAGAACTGATGACTAGAAAGCTGAAGTGAGAGCACAACAGACAACCTGGCATATAATGAATGGGAATGGGCCGTATGTATACTGCAGGGTTGATGGGAAAAGTGGCAACAGGTGTGCAGGTAGGTGGGGGAAGTCAGGTTAAAGGGAATAACGGGGAAAAGGGAGGAGTCACTGCAGGGCAGGAGAAACCTGAAATGACAACACTAATCAGAACTAAGATGACATAAAAACAGTCTGTTTCCCATTCATTGATGCCACAATATCAACGCTGACCGCCACAAACGATATACTTTTTAATATGAGTAAAACCAAAGTCATTGTGGAGCTGCCTGCAGCGCATTGATTCGCTCAGCTCCTCTGCTCGCTCCCTCTCTCTCTCTCTCTCACAAACACGTTAAAATGGAGCCGTGTGAACTAGAGCATTCAAATAACTGTGAGAAGTTAGTCTGTTCTTAACACAACGCTGTCAATGTGGTTTCTCTTAAAAGTAATAAGCCTATTACACACTTCACATTATCACTTCACTGTCTGTGACACGGAAAGGAGAATAGTTGGTTTGTGGCACAATAAACACCTGCGAACAGTTAAATTCAGCCGGCTGGGAATAATAGCCCACTGTCACAGATTACTGATAACATAATAATATGCGTTATGTACGTGTTAGTAATAACCTGCCTAGGTAGTTAAATCAAGTTTATATGTAATGTTTAATATCACATACAGTGTTTCAGCAAGCCTGGGCAGAGACTGAGCTCTGTTAGAAGCTCCCCGAACACCTCAACACAAACAGAACGTTAAGATGCAGGAATAAAACATGTTCAAGTGCAAAGCCAGAAGAAGAGCACAGAATCAACCCACAGTTTAATAAAACTCATCGACTGGTCCGAATCTGCAGCGTTTGCTCATCAAACGGACCAACTGTAAATCGAGTCGTCTCTGCTGAGTCCTTACAGAAGCTGAAGCTAACACAGGATCTGTCCACTGTTCCTCCGACAGGAACGCTCCACAGGTGAGTTTGCATGCTGCAGAGGAAAGCAAGAAGAAACAGGAGAAACATATCAGACAATAGACTCCTTTAGGTTCTCATCTCGCAGAAAGTTGGGGGCGTTGAGAGGAGGAGCAGCGTGGAGGAGAATGTCCCTCTGAAGCTCCACCCGGACAGACTCCTCTGTCTCTGTTCCATCTCCATACAGCTGACTGATTCGTTTATAGAGCAGTCCTTCTGTCTCTGGCGGCGCTTCCTCATCTCGTCGTCCCTCTGTCTTCTCTCTGTATTTATAGGACGCCAGTTTGACCGTACGCTGCAGAAGGTGTTTCCTGTATGCTCTCTGGATCACTGTCGCCGCCACCTCTTCCTGTTTCCTCCGCAGAGTGCTACTGATTGGTTCATACGACACCTGTAGGTAACAATTATAATCGGATTTAAGATTAGTTTGATAAATTTTAAACAATATCAGCCTCTTTTTAAATTTGCAATCTCTCAACTGCGAGAATGAACCAATGAATGAAGTATGCCTTATCTGTGAGACACGAGTCACCAAAAAATGTTTTTTTTCATGAAATAATCCAGAAGCACTGACGGTCAAATAAAGTCCCACTTCAACAAACCATCTTCCATTCATGCCTGAAGGTCTCTATTTCTCCTGAAAGTGTCTAATTCTTTGATGTCATCTGAACATATAAAGTCCAGTCGTCTGCATACATTGAGATGCTGTCCTGATACATGTTAAGAAGTGAAATACAGCAGTGAATCCAGACAGATTCCTTCTATATATTACTATTGCTGTTCTGATTATTTAACATTCTTCAATAGCAATGTCTAATAAGTGCAAAAGTGACACTGCAACCGTGTAAGACTGTGAAAACTATCACCATCTGAACATTTGGTGTACAATAAGATGACTATTAGTAAAAAAGTAAAATGCTGATCATAAAAGCAAAACTTAAATTTGGCTGCAGAGAATTGTTTGAAAGAGTCTGAAAAGAGAACTGTGAGATTAAATATGAATGGAGGTAAAGTAAAACCTTGGAAGGGTTGTTGGCCATGAACTTCTCCTCCATGCTGGCTTTAAGAGTGTCCATTGCTCCTGAATCACCCAAAACCTGCACAAATATGATATAACGTGACATAACTTCAAATAATATTAAATGTAGTAATAGAATAACAACATAGGTTCACAGGTCATTTTACTTGTGCAGTCAGTGCGAGCAGGATGTCCAGACAGTGGATCTTGTCTCCAGGAACAAGAGGCAGATCCATCTGGATCAGTTTGATGGTGTTTGGTTTGGAAATCCTCAGAGGATCCTTCAGAGTGTCGCAGAAATCTGACAACTCACTGTGGAAGACAGGGGAGTCCATTAGAGTTCTTTCTAATCAACACAACAGAGTTAGATCAGGAGCAATAACTACTACTAAAAGTGGCAGAAAGTAATCATTCTTCTAAAGTAGGTAGGAATCACCTGTACTGTATAAACTGTGATGCGTCAGGGTCGAACTTCTCCCAGGTTTCATAAAACATCTCAAAGTCATCCTCACAAAGTGGGTCAGCGCTCTCCTCTGTGGCCACGTTGAAGTTCTCCAGGATGATGGCGATGTACATGTTGACCACCACCAGGAAGGACATGATGATGTAGGTGGTAAAAAAGACGATGCCCAACGCTGGGGTGCCACAGTTCCCTCTAACCGTCGTTCCCGGGTTCTCTACGTCGGGGTCACAGTCCGGCGGCGTGTTCATGATGGGATTCAGCAGACCGTCCCATCCAGCTGATGTTGTGATCATAAACAGACAGATCATGCTGTTCCCAAATGTCTCAAAGTTAAATATGTCATCAATCATGGCCTCCTTCTTCACGTAGGCAAAGTTAGACATGCCAAAGATGGAGAAAATGAACATGATGAGGAAGAGGAGGAGACCAATGTTGAACAGGGCAGGAAGAGACATCATCAGAGCAAACAGCAGAGTCCGGATTCCTTTGGCTCCACGAATGAGACGAAGGACTCGGCCAATACGAGCCAATCGGATCACACGGAAGAGCGTGGGTGAGACAAAATATTTCTCTATGATGTCAGCGAGGAGGAGGCCTGAAGGGAAGGTAGTAAAGAAGAAAGGAAGAAAATAATAATAATTACGCTTTTATACAATTGATATACATGTCAGAGGTCGCACGCCTCTGCAGCAACTAGAGGTTAAGTGTCTTGCTCAGGGACACAATGATGGATGTCGCAGTTGGAATTTAACCCAGGTATCTCACACCAAAGGCATGTGTCTTATCCACTGCGCCATCACCACTCACAGAAAAGAAGGAAATTAATGTTTCTGCTTGTGCATTAAAGAGAAAATGTTGTTGACTCAACAAAAACCTCTGATCAAAATTAATAATCCATTTCCTAAAATATAAGTTATGGAAAGAGATTTCTGGTCCTCAGTGTAAAGAGAAATATTTTCACCTGACACCGACCAGTGTTGAACAAGTTACTCTGAATTTGTAATATATGTTGGGCCTCACATCCATGACAACAAAAATGGGCCTTCAGGTCACTGAGGAGCCTGTCTGTAAGTCTGTAGACAAAGGACAAAGACAACAAAGACTGGGCCTTGTGACATCCTGTAGGCCTGTTGAAGTCCCAAAAGCCTGAGTTGGACTGTAAACAAAGGACTGTAAAACAGGTGCCAAAGCCCGTTTCACAGCTAGGTACAAAATAGTGACTCAGACCTAAAAGCAGAGCCACTATTGGCTGTGCTTGTAATCTTGCAGGTCGCCCTGGTAACGCAGCCGGCACACTCCCCCCAGGTATAAGTAGACATGAGCGCAGACAGCACATTGTCTTTCCACATCTGCGTAAGCTGTGATAGGAGACACAATTTTTTCAGCGCTGAACTTTCTTTGTTCCTGAATACAGACTTCACTCACCGGACGAGCAACTCCGTTTTCTTTTTTCTACCTCTATTGTTTTTTCTTTGTGCTACCAACACAATTTTGGATCCCTAAAGAAACTGTTATACACAAGATAACGTTTCATGCCTGCAGAAGAAGACGGATAAACTCCGTGCTTAACTGAGAAGATCACCTCCGTGTTCTACCTTCTCAACCTAAGTCGACTTCACTGATTCCTGTTGCTGCCGCCTAAGAATCAGCTGTGCCGTTGAAACTACCGGCATCGTCAGAACCGAGGCGAGAGGAAATTTCCCAAAAGGACTGACGCATCGACTCGCTACCAAAGCGACACGTAACAGGCTTTAGTCAAAGTTCTATAACGTTTTTATTGTAACTTGTACAAGCTTCATGTGGTGAAGATCTGTTCCAAGGGATATTTAAAGACCGCCGTGTCTTGTTTATTGCTGTGTGTTTTCCGTTGTTTGTGTCCGGTACCACCCGCTGCGCCGTGGCTGCTTTGTTCCTGTTACAGTGTGAAAACATATCAGTATTTTCAACCCGATCGCATCTCGTGCGTCACATATACACGCTTTGGAAAAGCCATGTCTATTGTACAAAACGGCTAACCCTACCTCCTAGCAGCTGTAGGGTTCGCCGGTCAACATGCATATATTTACTGACTTAGGTTTAGGCACTAACTAATGCCATGTTTGAGGTTAAGGAAGTTGCCTCGGGGGGCGGTCAACTCCTTAAACAAAAACATTGCTAGCTAGCTAGCTAGCGACAACCCCGGGGCGTCACATACACACGCGGCCTGGATGCGTCTCAAACACACATACCTGGGGACGTATACTATTAACGCAAAATCGCCGTTTTGCATACAATAGACACGGCTTTTCTAAAGCGTGTATATGTGACACGAGAACAGGCTGGTATTTTTATCAAGACAAGGAACACTGAATGCAAGTTCACCACCGTCCCTCTCATTGATAAAGTTGTAGCTGAGTGTTTAAGTGTAATAAGGATTTTTGGTGTTTGCTTCTTTCTGAGAACAGATACGATAACACATTCTATCTAATCCAAAGCAGCAAGCGCTGCTGAATGAACGTTCACTGCTGGTGGCTGTAGGATAGACTGCTTTATTGTATATAGTTTCTCTGTGCCTTCCTCTCCTCCTTCTGCTTACTACCCCAACATGCACACACCACGTGATCTCTGAAGCTAACCAGACCTGTGACCCACAGCAGGCTAGCATCTAGTCTAGTCTTACACTCACACACATGCTTGCTGGATTGTGGTATGTTTTTGTTGTATTGGCTTTATTTCATTTTGCTTAGAATAGTTAATAGTGATTTACTTGCTAAAGTTGTTGATCGTTGATTTATATCTTATTATAATTTTAAGAAGTCGTTGCCTGTGATTATTTGTGTATAATGTTGTAGTAAGAG